GAATCAGATTTTATATAAAAATGAAATAGAAATATTTTATTTAATCACACCTATGATTAAAATACATATATAATCACACTTATTTAAAAAGTGTGATTAAAATAAAATGAAATCGATACGATCACACCTATTTAGGGAGTGTGATTAAAATACATATATAATCACACTGATTTAAAAAGTGTGATTAAAATATACATATAATCACACTTATTTAAAAAGTATGATTAAAAATAAATATTATATATAATGACATTTAATTAAAAAGTGATATAAAAATAAATATAATCACATGTTAATTAAAAGGCGTGATTAAAAAAAAAATATATATATATATATATAATCACACTTAATTGAAAAGTGACCTAAAAAATAAATATTATCACACTCAATCAAATCAAGTGTGATTAAAATATCAATCTAATTTTTTTTAGGGTGAATTACACTAATAGTCCCTATAGTTTGGGGCTTGTGTCACTTTGGTTTCTAACTTTTCAATTGTGACACATTTGACCCTGAATTTTGAATTTTGTTCCAAATAAGGACAATTGAAAATATCATTAGATTTTTCAAGAGTAAAATCATCAATTTGATAAAATATAAACTAATTTGAGAAAAATAAATGTCAAACAAATTTTTTTGAATTTTTAAAAATTATTTCTACCAACTAAAAATAAAATTATGTAAAATTGATAAATCTTTTAGACATTTATTTTTTTTATCAAATTAATTATTATTATATGTTTGGATAATGATCATGTAAAATTAATTTTTAAAAATTAATCATGTAATTTTTATTAATTTTTATCAATTTTACATAATTTTATCATTGGTGGATAAAAAAAAATTTAAAAATATTTTTTTGACATTTATTTTTGTCAAATTAGTTTATATTTTATTAAATTGATGATTTTTTCCTTGAAATTAAACAATGGTATCTTCAATTGTCCTTATTTGGAACAAGATTCAAAATTCAGGGTTAAATGTGTCGAAATTGAAAAGTCAAGGACTAAAGTGACACGAGTCCCAAACTATAGGGACCGTTAGTGTAATTTGCCCTTTTTTTTAATCACACTTTCATTAAAAGTGAGATATTTTTATTTACCACGGCTTGCATTTACTGTATGTCGTTAATGTGAATCTGTGAAAACCCAGTTTTGTTGTAGTGAGGAGAAGAGACTTGTGTGTTTGTGAAATTCAACCTTGTTGGGGATGGAAAGAGTCGTCCTCTGTCATTCATGGGTGTAGAATAGATGCGCAAATTTGGGAATTGTATATTTTATATAAAAATCAAATTGGAATATTTTATACAATCACACCTATTTAGGGAGTGTGATTAAAAAGTAGTAATGTATATATAATCACACTTTAATTAGAAAGTGTGATTAAAAAATATATAAATAATCACACTTTAATTAGAATGTGTGATTAAAAAATATATATAATCACACTCATTTAAAAAGTGTGATTAAAAAGTAGTAATATATATATAATCACACTTTAATTAGAAGGTGTGATTAAAAAATATATAAATAATCACACTTTAATTACAATGTGTGATTAAAAAATATATTTATAATCACACTTATTTAAAAAGTGTGATTAAAAAGTAGTAGTGTATATATAATCACACTTTCTAATTAAAGGGCGGAAGCAGCACACAGAATGAAGAACATGGATTATGAAATCAAATATGATTAAAATTGAACAATTGAACAAAGGAATTGGAATGCACTAACTAAACCAAATCATTTTAAAACATTGTAATTAAAATACAGAAAATAACTTACAATTACAATTGTAGCAACTGCAAGGATCTTAACTAGGGTACCAAACGGGAAGGCGTAATTATCACTCAGGACACTCTGGTTTTTCTTACAATACAGAAAATGGAAAGAAAATTGAAGACTGCCTGAGAGAATACAATTGATTACAATATTTAGAAACTAATTTAACTATACAACATGTGAATTGGCGGAAGGCAGCTGGCAGCATTGGAGATTGAGCAAAGCTGTTGGTTGCTTTCGGCGGATTGATTGAACAGTCGAAGCAGCTTTAACAAAAGTTGATTGGGTGAATAGTGATAGTGAACAGTAACTTTTACTATTCATCGCTTTCGGTGGAGCATGTGAATAAAGGAATCAATATAAATACAAATTGGCAGCTTTTCTCAAAAGAGTATTGATTGAAGCTAATTTGTATTTATAGGGAATCCTATGTTGATTAATTAAACAGATCCTGAGCATCTTGAAACTCGGGACCAGAATATTGATTGGTTGATCCTTCAGAAGAGTGTGAATGTTTTGATCCTTCTTCTGAACTATTTGAACTGGATGAATGGGCTTCACTTTGATCCATAATTTGTTGGACGAGCTGGAGCACTTCATCTTTAGATAATTTGGACTTACTTTTAGTTTTGACTTTGGGCTGATCAGGAGGTGAAATGGGCTGAGCCTTAGCTTTGGATTTTGACTTGGGCCGTGAATGATCCTTGGGTTGGGCCGGAGCAATAGGAGCTTTGGACTTAGCCTTGGATTTTGATTGCATTGACTGGGCTATTTTGGATTTGGGCTTGGAACCACTGGATGAGAGGCTTCCAAGATTGATTGGAGGAAGGCTGGACTGACTTTCTTGACTGATTGTAGTAGTTGGGTTCTGCTAGGCTTTAGTAAGTGCAGGAGTAGGAGCACATTGATCAGATGGAAATTCGTCTTGAACAATTTCAAATATGCGGGGCAAATTGAACTTAGCCCACCATTTGACTGAATGCTGGCGGATGACTATTTTATCATCAAGAGCATAATGCCATTTGAATATCCAAGGGATTTTATATTTGGATATAAAAATTAGCAATAATGGAAATTGTCGTTGGTGAGTGGTGAATGGGTAAACAGAAGCAAAATAATGAATTAGCTCATTAAGGCCATCAGGGAGAATATTTGAAATGGCGCCATAATGAGTCCACCAACGAAGAAACCAGAAAAGTAATTCAGATTTGAATTTTTGATCAAATGAAATAAACCAAGAATGACTGAAAGTTTCATTTTGGTACAAGAAAATCTTGAACCAAGCGTCAACGTAATCATGGTAATTATATTGAATAGAATGGCCAGGTAAATCACGAAGCTGATTAGGATTACCCCATTCAGCCATGGAAACAATATTGTGAATATAGAGTGAATGGTATAAGACCTTATAGGCATAGGTGCGGTCTTGAATGGGTTTGATCAAAATGGAATGGTGATTGATTAGAATATCCTTGTAGTAGGTTAGGGTTTTCTCTGGATGGGAAAGGGTGAAATGGCATCCAGAGCCAAAATGGAATTTAGCAATGTCATTGATGGTTTAAAAAATTCAAATTGATTAGAGTGTTTTATTGTTGTTCCTTTAAATCTTGTCATGGTCAGCTTGTTTTCTCTATTTAAATTGGGTGGGTTTCGTTAAGTTTCACCAACTTCATAATGCTCTTCTAATGCTCCTTTTATAACCATGTTTTGATCCTAATAATATATAAGTACTGTATTGTTCAATAACTATATACCAATTTTCTGTTAGATCAAAAATTATAATATTCTGGGTAGGGATTTAGCAAGATGAATAAAACAAGCTAATAGTGATGGACCCATTTGAACATAACATTAAGGCATTAATAAGATCAATCCTTTTTTTGATACATGGATGGAGAATAGAGAGGAATGAAGGAGTTAAAAATGTAACTACAGGAGAAGGACATAATATCTTCTCAGGCTGTTTTGTCAAGCCAGTTGCCATAAGAAAAGGAGAAGTACAAGTGTGTTACTTGATTTTAGGACAAGAAGCAAGGGGGTTTACTTACCATTGTACCTTATAGTTCCCTTACTAGCTTTGAAGAAAATTACAATTTGTAGCCACATCAGTTGGTGAGGTTTTACTGAAATTTTACAAAACTAAAATTGCAAATTTTAGTCTAGCTCCCTGCTTCAAGATTGGAATCAAAACCTTCAAAAGTCCCCTTCAAACTTCCATAAATTTAAAACCAAAATAAAATAAAATATATGACTAGTGAATTTAGGTACTCAACAGAACGGTGGATTTTAATTAGCTAAAAGATCCATAAAGCCTGCCTCTCCCCAGTCCACTGTTTTATATAGGAACTATAGTAGATTATGCAGAAACGAGCTGAAACAAAGACAGGAATTGCCAAACAAGCTTACCTTTCATGTATTATCTATTATCATAAGAACATAAAATTATATCTGGTTATCATCAGCAAATTATTGTATGATAGTTCATACCCCTATTTTTTTTGTCTATGGCATTTTGATTTTTTTTCCTAATGATAGTGCAAGTTTGGAATACATCTAGAACTTAGCCAATAGGCTTACATAATGTAACAATATTTTCGTGCCCATTGAGTAATTCTAACTTTCATTAATTCTATTTGTATTAGTAGGTCCTTAGACTAAGAGCATCTTTAGTGCAGATGTTAAAATTGTTGTTTGAAGTGTACATCTAAGTGTAAGTGACATGAGAGAGAGCTTTTAAAACTGAATAACTATAGCACGTTACTAGGGGGAGACTTTAAACAACTAATTCCCAAGAACTTTCAAAATAAGGCATAACCTACCAAATAAGCAACACCTTGACAGCAAATCCAAAATTCAAGACACATCTATAAATCTAAATCCATATCCATGTCAACCAAAATAAAATGCATATATATATTAGTAAATAAAAGAGCAAAGAGAAACAAATCTGGAGAGTAAATAAGAGAGCAAAGAGAAAGAGAAACTTATCAGTTACCAAAAAGAAAAAGAAAAAATCAGTAAGAATAACCCAATCATGTAGACTCCTCCACCCTCTGTTAAACTTATCAAATACATATCCATACATATGCAGGATGAAGGGTACACACTGTATATATTATACTGAGAAATTCTGAAAATCAGTAAGAACTATTAACTATCACTAGTCACCTTTCTTTAATATTTTCATTGAAATGAGGTTCTGTGATCTTGTCTCAGCTCTCTAATATCATTTGTTTTACTGTTGAATGGCAGATTAAAAAGCTTGCGCTGATGATACAGAAGGTTAAGGACTTCTAAAATCTAAAACTAATTAATCACATTGTCTCTTACATCTTCAAAAACATCTCTTCTAGATTAATTATTATTTAACCGTTTTGAATTTCTTCTTCTGTACTTGCAGAGTAAGCACCTAGTAGTATTTACAGGTGCAGGAATATCAACATCTTGTGGGATACCTGATTTCCGAGGTCCTAAAGGAGTGTGGACACTTCAGGTGAAATCATTTATGGTTCTGTAATTTTTTGATCTGGAGAAGCCAATCTACAACCCTTGTCCTTGTCTTCTCTTCATCTCATTCTAGTGGTTAGTTTGATTTGGTTATGTTGACTTGCAGCGTGAAGGAAAAGGCGTGCATGAAGCATCCTTGTCTTTTCATCGGGCAATGCCAAGTATGACACATATGGCTTTGGTTGAACTTGAAAAGGCTAGCTTTTTGAAGTTCGTTATTAGCCAGACTAGTTTATGACTTTATGTTGTTCCTTGTCAAGAAAAGATTGTATGTTCTTTCGTTGTCTCATACGTTTTGTACTTTAAGACTACCTGCGCTTGAGGATGGTTGATGAGAACTCTTTTTACCTCCTCTTTTTTTTTGGAGTATTTTATATTTCATTTCCTCTTTGCTATTTCCTATTAAGCCTTATGTTCATGCAGATGGGCTTTTATATGTGGATTGCTAAGTTTATCACTCTATCTGCTAGACTTTCTATGATTAATTGTTCAATACTTTATATTTTCTAGAATGTGGATAGCCTACATCTCCGATCTGGAATACCAAGAGAGAAACTAGCAGAATTGCATGGGAACTCCTTCAAGGAAATTTGCTCCAAATGTGGAGTAGAGTAAGTGTAAAATTTTGAATGGTTTCTGTTGCTCATAATCTGTTTTAAGTCAAAGTTAGCAATTTTATCATCTGATATAGAAGGTTAGAATTATCACTTTTTCAGTTCATGGTTTTTAATTCAATTACTTGATGTTTGAAGGTATTTGCGGGATTTTGAGGTGAAGACTATTGGGTTGAAGAAGACATCAAGGAGCTGTTCTGATGTGAAGTGTGGGGCAAAACTTAAGGATATTGTTCTTGATTGAGAGGTAACTATGACTCTCATTTTCATTTGTTGCATTATATTGAAGGGAAGAGCAGTACATGCTCTTATTTCCTCAGCTATTTGTAATTGAAGAGAATCCATTCACAACTTACTCAAAGTTCTATGCAGATGACAAAGGCGGCATACATAAATACTTATACAATTTGTAGTCTAGAAAGCCAAAATAGAACTCTTGTTGCAATGTCAAACTGTGGAGTACATTTTAGTGGTGTTAAAACCTTAAATTGTTGAATCTGATATCTAAGGACTTGTTTGGAGTCAATTTGTCTCTTGTTACTTTGAACTTTGTTTTTGTTTTCTAAATTTTTGGAAACAGAACAGGAAACATCTGTGCAGTAAGATTCTTCTTTACAAAGTTGTTACCATATTCAAATAACAAAATGATTTATTTTTTATTATTTATTTATTTTCCAGAATAGATTGCTTCCAATGCAATCAAAAGCATGGAAAAGCTTTTCGTGAAGTTCTCAATGTTGATGAATGTGGTTAACCTTTTTCTTGTAGGATGTTTTGCCCCCGACAGAGATGAATGCAACTAAAAAACATTGTCGAATGGCTGATATAGTATTGTGTTTGGGGACAAGGTAGATCTTTAGGATCATACATCTTATTGTGCATGTTATTTCTTACTTATGGTTACAAGAGCATAAATACACAGACAGAGAAGAAAACTCTGCAAAATTTGTGATTCTGCTATACCAACAGAAATACACACAAAAGGGGCATAAAAACCAGAGGACTCACCAGGAATTTCAAGAGATTTTTTATTTGAAAGACAAACTTCAATGGTGGTTTGAGTGAGTAACTTCAACGGTGGTTCGGAGCTATGATGAAGAAAATGAACGGCTTCATTTCAACAAGGAGAAGAGATTCAATCTTGTTGGGAAAGGCAATGGTGGTTCAGAGCTGAGATGAAGAAAATGAACGGTTTCGTTTCATCAAGGAGAAGAGATTCTAATGTTGGGAAAGTCAAGAGTCATGCTCAATGATGGCACAGAATAGGCGCCAACTTGGAATCAGATTTTATATAAAAATGAAATAGAAATATTTTATTCAATCACACCTATGATTAAAATACATATATAATCACACTGATTTAAAAAGTGTGATTAAAATATATATAATCACACTTATTTAAAAAGTGTGATTAAAAAGTAG